CTTTCAAGTGATCGTCGAATTCATGGTTCAAATACTCGCCACCTCGATCTGATCAAAGTGCTTTTATTTTCTTGCCAAGTTGATTTTCAATTTCACTCTGAAACTCTTTGAATTTCTCAAAAGACCAAATTTAATTTGTTCGACATAAGGTAGACATAACCATAACTACTATAGTCGTCGGTGAAGGTAATGAAATATCGATAACCTTGCCTTGCGGGTGTACTCATTGGTCCACATACATCCGTATGTATTACACCCAATAAGTCACTTGCCCAATCTCGCAACTTGGAGAATGGTTGCTTTATCATCTTGCCTAATAGACATCCTTCGCAATTTTCAAACGACTCCAAGTCGAATGAGTCAAGAACACCTTCTTGAAGAAGTTTCTTGATGCGTTAGATGTTAATGTGGCCAAGAAGACAATGCCACAAGTAGGTTTGATTCGACTCGATGGTCTTAGCCCTTTTGGCGGTATCATCAATGTTATAAACTTGTTTGTCTAGAGAAAGCACATAAAGACCATTTTCTGAATATGCGTTACCATATAAAACATTATCGAAATAAAATGAACAACTATTGTTCTTAATTCGAAATTCAAAACCTTTTGCGTCCAACGCCGAAATTGAAATAATGTTTTTGGTAACTCTAGGAACATGATAGCAATACTACAAAAATAATGATAATAGGCAACACCTAAAATTGCAACACTTAAAAAAACTATTACCCTTGATAAGCTAAGGCAACGATTTTTAAATGTCACTATGAACCAAAATAATAACACTATATCCCCGTGCAACAATTAAACAAGTGTTGCTATAAACCATTAAAGACAACAATCACCTAAAGTGTTGCTTTTCTTTTACCTAAGGCAACATATTTAAGAAATGTTGCTGAAAAAGATAACAACAATACAATTGTCCCCTTAGAATGTAGCACTTATGTTTATCATCTATGACATCAATCTATTGAATACACAATATCATGGGTTACTCCATTATTTTCTTATGTATCTCATTCCTAATACATGGGCTACAATATATTAAAATTTGCGGTTGTCTTGAGTTAAGTGAGTTGCAAATACTTAATAATTTACTCCCTATGTTTTTTTTTTTTTTTTTAAAAAAAAAAATGTTAGGCCTTGTTCTTTTTATCTTATTTTTGTTAAATTGAAATTCATTTTACTAAACTATATTTTTATTTTTATTTTCTTATAAATTATTATATCCCCAACAAACTCACTGACATATTTTTATACAACATTAATTAATAATCTATATATATAGTTTATATTTATTTTTTATATTAAAAAGTGCTCCTAAAATGTGACACGTGGCACCCTTGTCATGTCATCTTTCAACTATAAGCATATATTCTAATGAAAAATGTCTATCATGAGATTTAAACTCATAACCACGAAAATATGCATTAGAAATTTTTTCATCTCATTTATTAATTAATCATATGCTCGACTCATAAATATTTATGGATTGTAGATGTGAACATTTAACTACAATTCGTAAAAATATCGATTCTATTATTTGCTAATAATGCTCATGGATATCGAGGTAATGCATACAAGAAAAATTAACTATTATTATAGATTAATTTCAGTTATTTAATTATTTTAATAATAATTATGTTTTTATCTTCATTATATTATATTATAAATCATATACGAAAGGTGTTTAAATACTTAGTCAATAGTTGTTCCATAATAATTTATTAAAGGTTTAACGAAAAACTGTTATAAATAAACAAATAATTAATAAATAAATAATAAATAATGAACAATATATCTATTGTTTTAAAAAGAAAACAACCTATCTATTCAATTACAAGTGTTCAAAGTAACAAACCGAGGCATTTTACGTGCTACACACTAGTTTAGGGTCTAATTCTATTCACCTTATATTCACTTATTTCAGGTGTAATACGTTCTGATAAGTTCAGATAAGAAAAAAAAAAGGGTTAACCAAGTACAAATTGCAACTAAAATAAGTTTTGATAAGGTCTAATAAATTCAGATAAGTGAAAATTAGGTGAATAAAACATACCTTTAATTAAAACTACTAAAACTATATGTTAGTTAAAAGTGTAATACTTTAAAAAAAAAGGAGAATTAAATTAAGTCGTCCTTAAGACGGAGTGTCAAAAGCATATGATTTCATCCGCTTATGAGTATATTTTGACCTTTTTCAACCAATTAAGATAGCCTAAAATTACTTGTTGATTAAATAATCATAAATTCATAAGCCCACCTCAAAGATCTTCAATTAAAAAAAAATGAACATCTTCATAAAATTATGAAGCCTTAGTAGTTCGTATAAACGATTTTTTAATGGTATTATAATACTAATGAACTTCCGACCGTATGATTTTTTTGTGCTGCTATAATATCAATGAATGGACATTTTTCCAAAGCGAGCCAATTTTGGCAAATATTAACCAAAATGGTTGCGTGGCAAAAGTATTTACCAAACTAAGCTTCCAGGCTAAAACGCTGTCTCGATCAGCGTTTTATGCCTGGGTTTTTTTTTTTAAAAAAAATCAACCTAAAAACGCTGTCTGGGACAACGTCTTTGTTGTTGACCTTTTTTTTAAAAAAAATTTGTAATTGTCTTTTTTTTATAAAAATGTTTTTAAAAAACAAAAACAGTTATACCAAAGACGCAGTCCCAGACAGCGCTTTATGTACAAACTTCCTTGTACCTAAAACGCTGTCTCAGACAGCGTCTTATTTTCAACCTAAAACGCTGTCTGGGACAGCGTTTCTCTGCTGGTGTGCAAAACAGCAGCAGAATCAGCCTTTTGCCACTGATCTGCCACTTTCTTCTGCCCCCACCCACCACCCCCTGCCATGATTCTTGCCACCACAATCCACCAACAACCCCCACCATCGACCACCATCTGCCACCACTTTTGACCTCCAACAACACTTCAACCAGCTCCACCACCAACCCCAACCATTCAACAACCGTCGATAACCACCCACCACAACCAACAACACTAAAACCACCATGAACAACTACATTAACCACCACGGGCCATCCTTTCTTCCCCATTTTCGACTATGGATTCCAAATGTCTGTTGTTTAATGTACATTAGCCCTGAAAGATCTATTTTGACTGACATAAATCCGATTTGGATAAATAAGCAAACAAAACTTCAAAACACAAACAGATTCATTCAACCAACATGTCTTATATTGATAATGCAATCGTTATATATAGCATTCCAAGAAAAAGGACAAAACAATGATACAATACGTTCACTACTCATCAATTTGGTGTAACCCTTCCCTAGCCTCACTGTCGTCCCTTCGTCTTGGACGACGCCGAGTGTAATGGTGAATGGGTTCCGACGCGGGGGGGGAGTGAGCTGGCTGGACGATGCGTCCTCCTGGGTTCTGAAGGGTGCAGAACTGTGGAAGATGTACTCCTCTGCCTCTGTGTGCGACGTAGGATCACCTCCACTGCTACTCTGGCCGGGGTCGAACCGCGAATGGTTGGAGTGACCATCATCACCGTCCCGTTGTTGGATGAGATGACCGTGACCATGTCTGCGTAAGGAAGTCGCGGACATATCTCGCATCCGCTGGACCTGGGCTCTGGTGGGTCCGTCTGTAAGGGCGAGGGACAGTGCATCATACATCGCCACCATATCCACCGCCTGTAGTAATCATCGATCAGTCAAGTACATGATATTTAAAAAAGTTAAAAAATGAGGATGATAAGTATAGTAAAAGAAACTCACATATCCGCTAATGACGTCATGTGCCGGGTGGTAATGGGTGGACGGTGGTGTGTAGCTGGGGTTGATGAAACGGCGTGTGATAAGCCTGTACCACACCATGTACGGATCGTCATGATCCATAACGCCCTGCATGGGATAACCCTGAACGACATGACCCAACCGCTGCTCCCATAGCTGAAGATACTGCCAATGCTCCAGTGCCCAGTTTGTCTCCGTCTTTCCCCGACGGTCAATGTCGTGAAGGCGCACGACAGTGTCACAGTTCTGGGGAATAGGCTGCTGCAGTCCGAACTGTCGCATGACGCGGTCAGGTAGGTGACTCTCCACAACCTCGAAACAGATCAGGGGGACCCGGGCACGCCACTCTCCCTGATGCTCCAGTAGATGTGCAGGCATGACATCTACCAACTCCGGTACATACGGATCCCATGTGATCTGCAATAACACATCCTAAATAAGTTAGTCCACAATCAGTATACACAGTACCTAAATGATTACAAATGTCTTCATCTCTCCACTAACGCCGTGACAAGGTGTCGGTCGATCTCCCTGAATCGCAAGCGATGTACACCGCCAAAGCCAGCGTACGTCACGTACTCAAGGCAACGATCATGGACAACCCAGGGGGTCCTGTAGTGCCTGCACTGTAGTGGCTTCGCTACGTCACCCTGAAAACACAGGAGCATTTATAAGTAACAAAAGATAGTACATCAAAGAATCCAAAAACGTTAAAGATGAATCATTACCGTCAGGTTCCATACGTCGACGCTCCGATGGGTGTCCTGTAGTGTCAGGACAGAAGGGTCAACAGGTCCGGGTGTCCTATCCCGTACGTCCATGATATCTGTTCATTGAAAACGTTACACACCAAACACTAACACAATATATTGAATACTAATTTCGATTGAAAGGCATAAACAGGAAATCTCGAACATCCAACGTACAAAATAAAATTCATCGAATTGAACACAATAACACATAGTGTAGAAAATTATAACCGTTTCATCAAAATAACACCACTACATACTACTATATCAAATAACACATATACACTTAGGTCCTATGTTGGTCTAGATGGACAAGTAGTGCGGTTGTGACCTTGCTGGTGACAACGGCTGCATTTGGTTGGGGGCCGGTTGCTGTCATCCATCTCATTGCGTATGCGCTTCGACTTTGGACGACCTTTTCCACGTATCATTGTGCCGTCCGGAATGAGTTTAGGGCCTACGTACTGTGCCCACTGTGCCTAGGTTGTCTCGCAGGGGATCGGCCAGAATTGTGGTGCATAGGTGTTCATGTAGGCGGCCGACTGCAACAGAGGGTCCACCCAAGGCCGTTCTGATAGTGAGTATGTAGCACAGACTGCTAGCACATGAGAACATGGGAGGTGGAATATATTCGGTTTGTTGCACGTACACGTTCTCAACTGCCAGTTCACCGTATGCTTGTGGCCTCCTTTATTACCAACTCTCTCTCCCATCTCTGTTGTCACTTGGTAAATATGCAATCGCCGGTTATAGGCATCCACTCTATGATATCTGGCTTTAGCGGTGTTCTTCTCGAGGATGGCAGTGACCTTTGGGGGGTATGGAAGTCCCTGATCAGACCTAGCCTCAGAAGACTCCCTTCTCAAAGTGAAATACTTGTTAACTCTGTGGAAGGTTAACTCGACAAGGGACATAATCGGTAGAAACCGAGCTCCTTTCAGCACATTGTTGAATGTCTCCGAGAAGTTAGTAGTACATATACCATACCTGCGACCACTGTCGTGAAATAGAGACCACATAGGGAACGAGACTTGAGCAATGTACTCAATGGCCTTGGGACAGGCCTCACCAATGAAACACAGATCAGCTTGAAGTTTTCTTTCTTGCCTTTGGTACGCAGCGGCCTTGAACATGTCTCTCATGTCATTACTTCGCACGTGAGTCTTCAAGTTAGAGGCTATGTGGCGGACACAAAACCTGTGATACGCTCGGGGCTGGGTGAATCCAACATTAGGATCATTCATTGCTGCAATGATCCCAGGATGCCGATCAGAAATAACACAAAGGCAATCCCGTTGCGTGACACGATCTCGAATACAACCTAGGAACCAAGACCAGCTGGAAGTGTTTTCCCCTTCAACCACCGCAAATGCAATAGGAAATACTTGGAAGCTTGCATCAACACTCGTAGCAACCAACAGTGTTCCTTTATACTTCCCGTACAAGTGCGTCCCATCGATACAGATAACAGGCATACAATGTTTAAAGCCATCGATACAAGGACCGAAGGCCCAAAACTGTTGGGTACATATAGGCACTGTTTCTACATATATCTCATTGGGAAAACCCTTCATTCCTACCATGCTCCTCAAACCTTTCAAATGTTTGTTCGTAGAGACAGGTAACACTTGCACCCCATGACCAGTATCACACCTCATTTTAAGGTTCAGTTCAACAGTCATAGGGTTTGAACCAATACAACTGTGAACCTCATTCATCAGATCAGTCACAGTCATGTTCGGTTCAAGTGTTATAAGGTCCATATTCCCTCCACTGTACTCCACATTTGATCCATTACACAAAATTTCACCTCCCCATCGACATAACAACGCTACATTTTGTCCAGTCATATTCTACATAACAACCAAAACACATTTTACGTAAAGCCGTTAAATCATCCCTAAATCACCACAATCAAACAAATTTTTTTTACATACTCTACAAATTAACTACTAAGAACCCCTAAATCACCATTATTACACAACAATGTAGGTAATTACAATTGTTCAAAACCTAATAATTATCAACCATTGTCAACAATTTTCAACAAAACCAACAACAACAATTCAACATTATCCAAACTATTATCAACACTAACAATATCAACACTACCATTATCAACACTAACAATTCAACAATTACCAACACTAATAATTCAACAATACCAACACTAACAATTCAACATTTTTAACACTAACAACTCAACCTCATCAACATTTTAACCCAATTCCAAAAAAATTAGAAATCACCAACATAAACCCTAGAATTTAAAACACAAAGAAAGTTGAATGAATACCTATTTCAGGGTGAGGGGAGTGTATAGTGGGCTACACGGAGGGCGACGGTGGAGGTGACGGCGGGCGACGGTGGAGGTGGCGGCGCCGGCGGCGGTCTACACGGAGGAGCACAAGTATGAGAGAGAGGGGGATTAAGTTAGAGTTTGGGAAAGAAGGGGTTTGAGAATGAAGGAGGAGGAAATGAAATGAAATACGTTGTTGGAGGGAAAAAAAAAAACGACAGAAACGCTGTCTCAGACAGCGTTTTATTAATAACCTTAAACGCTGTCTGAGACAGCGTTTATAGTTCCAGAGTTAAACGCTGTCTGGGACAGCATCTTTGGTATAACTGTTTTTTTTTTTAAAACATTTTTATAAATAAAAGGCAATTACAAAAATTTTTTAAAAAAAGGTCAACAACAAAGACGCTGTCCCAGACAGCGTTTTTAGGTTGATTTTTTTTAAAAAAAAAACACAGGCATAAAACGCTGACCGAGACAGCGTTTTAGCCTGGAATCTTAGTTTGGTAAATACTTTTGCCACGCAACCATTTTGGTTAATATTTACCAAAATTGGCTCACTTTGAAAAAACGTCCTCAATGAACTTTCCCATCTTATGAACATTTTTTTGTGGTGCTATAATATTAATGAACTTCCGAATTTTTTTTTTTCTTTTGTTTTATTGAACTTCCAACTCTGCCCTTCCCGTATTTCTCATTTTCTTGCTCTGACTCTCTGTGCTTAACTGCTCACTAACTCCTCAGTCCCTTTATCTCTCGCCTCTCACTATCTTTCGATCTCTCCTCCATTGAAGCATGCTCGCTCCTTGATTTCTAGAAGAATCGATCGAAACCGGGTGACCATCTCTGTCATCCTTATTTGTCGATCAATTCAAAGTTCTCCTCACAATGTTGTTCATGGAGATATCGGTGCTCATTTTACGATGGTTTTACTGAAGAAATCAAACTTGAACGCCCTACTTCTGCCGGTTCGCTTCATTTCCTTTTGTTTTTGTTTTTTCTCCTCATGTTTAAACATTGATTTTGTTCTTTCTTAATGATTAATTGATGTGGTTGATTGTAATACTTGCTAATTTTGATTTTTGGGGACTAAATTGAATTGATGCGTTTAATTCATCACTCCTTTTCAGCTTAATTTTAATTTTAAAAATCATCCCTTTCAGCTTAAATATTTATATGAAAATTAAATAATGTAGTGTGTATTGTGTAGAGATGAAGAAATTAGGTTGTTCTTATTAGGGGCTTTGGTAATTCATTTCCTTGGACAAAATTTTTTGATTCATTATTGGGGTCATTTAGTGGAGAATCTAGGAGACTTATAGACTCCGTACTATATATGTCAATGACATGTGTGGTGGTTTTCAGCTATATATTTAATGGGTAACATTTATTCTATAATTGGTGATTTCGTGGTAAATTGTGACTTGATTCTTGATGTGAAACTATCTAGCTATTGAACTCTTAGTTTCATCCCTGTTTAGTTAAAAGATAAAAGTGAAAGTGGGGAACTGTTCGAAGGGGAGTAAAGCCAATCCTAGGAGGGGTCAATACTTATATACAAGTGTTTCTATCATATGTCTGCCAATTTTCTTTGTATGAAATGAATATTATTTTTATCGACTATGAAGGATTCGATTATAGTCTTAAAACAGTTTTCTGCTAATTGGATAGAAGCATCTATTGTGATTGCTTCTCACTTTTTCTTGAGTTAACTTGCAATAATTTTTCTTAGTATGTGATTAGTCAGTGCAATATCCTTAGAACGTACAGCTTACTTTGATGTGTGTATAATGACTAATTGGTTTTCCTTAAGAATGGTACGTAGTAGCAATAATTTCATGTTGACAAGGGAAGTTCGGAATGGTGAACATATACTATAGAGGTAAGGAATATCTTGTTTTAGTTCTTAGCTGTATGTTTAATAAAGAGCATGAGACATGCATATATATTGAGAAAATGACAACTAACTGTGTAAGGTAGGAATTCACAATTGAATTCTGAATATTGGGGTATTAATGTAACAAAAGCAAGGAAAATTACTTTGACATTTGGCTGCTAAATTCCTTGGAATCTATTTCTGCGACACACCCTATAGGGTTACATCATGTGCATAGGATGTTGCTGCTCTTGCTTTTCCCTTTTTTTTTTCTTTTTTTTTTTTCTGTTTCAATTTTTACCCTCTCTTATGTGATGTGATGTGAGGTAACGTAGGAAGTGGTTGTTTTAGTTTTATTTAGGTTGAGTTAAGTATGTGAAATTGGATATTGGGTTAATTATAAATGTTACTTTGGTTTTTCATTATTTCTTCATGTAATGTGTTACCGAATCCATCTATTGTTTTACAGATATATAGCCTCTTGGATTTTCCAACTTTAAACGCATCTATTTCCATATACATAATACACTTGTATAGTTGATTAGTTGTATATGTTAGAAGTCTCTTCCATAAATGCTTAATTGCTGACCATGAAATCTCTCTCAATCAACTTTCTCACTCTAAAATCGCCATTAAAATCTCTGCAAATTTCTAGTGAGTGAAAGAATGATTCAACCACCGGAGGAAAGGCGAAGAAGGGAGTCGCATCTAATGCTTCCTTGACATTTTATCTCCATTGCCACGACATCTAAGGACTCCTTACCGATATCGTTGAGCTTAACCAAGACGACTTGTATATCTGGTATACCTTACGTTCCTAGGGAAGCGGTGATGCCTCGCTTTGGCGTAGCCCATCACCACGCGCATTAGTTCAGTAAGTGTCATTCTTGGAATGGCAAATTTGGCTCAATATTATAGGGACCTAGGGTTTCTATGTTGGTTGATTTAAGTGAACTTAATTAATTATCGCAACATTTGAAATCCTAAACATGCATCTAACATATCATTCACATATATGAGTACAATTATATAATGAAAACATGAAATAAGATGTATTTGGCAACTAGCATGACTCCTTGAAATCTTCAAGAGTCTTCGATGCACCATCTTGGCTCGTCTTCATAGAAACGCCGTCTTGAGACATCCCTGCCAAAATGAAATTACTAGCTACTACAACTAGGATTAATTTAAATATTAAGGTACAAAAATACGCAACGTTACGCAGACCATATTTAGATCTACAAAAATACGTAACGGATCGCAGTCCGTATTTACTATCCTAATGGGGCCCCACTAGTTTCCATATTCACGAAACCTGTGAAACAATATATATATTCCATTCATTCATTCACTATATGTGAATGGCCCATGCATTTTACAACAAAAAACAAGTAACAATGCATAACGCGCGCGAACTAATAACTAACTTAGGTGGTTACTCCAATTAACACGCCTAATTAAAACTAGTCAAAGTTGTTTAACATTTTATGTGACGCAATTAGTTCATGCAATTAACGAAGCTCCCACTAAATTCCGCATCCAACTTAATTAATCCAATTAATTAAGCCAATTAACCCAGAATTTTGTCAAAATTAAATAATTTTGCAAGAGCCGAAAAACTGAGGCCTAGCCTTGTTAAAATAATAAAATTAAATTAAAACGACAAAATTTTGCAAAACACATAGCCCACGCATCGAAAAATCAGCCTACTCTAAACCGAGTGCTTAGCATCCTAGTTACGGGGCTAAACTTGCTAGGCACCATAGCTGCGGCTGGGGTGTGCTTGGGCGCAAGCAGCCTGCCTAGCATGGAATCGCTGCACCCGCTAGCACCAGCACGCATCGCAGCAAGCTGCGCATGCTAGCATGCGTGCTGGTAGGTGTGGTTGGGCCTGCTGGGCTCGCTGCCTTGCTGCCCAGCAGCACTTGCGAGCATCTCCAGCAGTCACGCACCACAAGCATCAAGCACGCCCCAATGTGCACTGTTAGTCCGCCACACAGCCGCATCACTTCGAGGTGGGAGCACCTCCATGCGCACCAAGGCAGCCACATGTGGGCTGCGTGAGCAGCCCGGTTATCCTTGGTGGCATTTGGGTGATTTTACCTCGATTTGCGTGCTATTACTTCGGGTTTTTAATCCCGATATATGTGTGACATAAAATTAATTCTAAATTTATTTTGGAATCAATTTAGAGCAAAATGAAAATTGAAATAAGTCCAACTTAATTAAATTCAATTTTAATAGTGCACAAGCCTAAATTATTCAAGAATCAATCTTTAAATCAATTTAGGTCTAGCTTGATGCTATAAAATTGAAGGGCTACACTCATAATTAATTTAATCAAATGTAAATTAATAAGAAAAATTGCATTAAATAATACCACATTTGCTCCATCCGCTAAAAACAAGTTGACCTTTTGTTTATTTCAGAATAATACGACCTTTAGGGGTACTCCGCTTTAAAAAAGTTATGACCGGTTATTAACTTGATTAACAGGTTATATGGACACGTGTCATTGTTTGATTGGTTTGAAAATTTTATTTGTTTTTTAAATTTTTTTTAATGTTTTTAATTTTTAAAAGTTTATTAAATTTTTTTAAAAAAAAAGAAAAAAAAAACCACCACATTCCAGCGCTCCACCTGTTTCGGGGTTTTCTGATGTCCTGCGGGAGAGTTAC